AAAATTTAAATAATACATATGTTTTTTTTTATTTAAAACTTTTATTGAGTCACATAAGACTAATTAAGGATTTCGATTGTAAAAAAAGAACTAAAAATGCTTACCTCAATAAAGAGGTTTTCAATTTTATTATAAAATAAATAAATACATACTGATATTTAAAACTGAATTGATTATAAATAACTTTGATAGTGATTAATGACTATCCACAAATTTTAAGATATCACCATAAAAATAAAATTTCAAAAAAAAATAAATAAATTTCTACCAAGCAGTGTATTATTCTAAAGATTATATTTTATGATTAATGCACTGATTAATTTATCGTTTTTTTTTTTTTTGTTATTGTTCAGAAATAGTAAATATATAATATAAGAAAAAAATAAATATTTTTCATTTAAATAAAGATACTTCAAGAAAGTATTACTTCGTACAAGTTTTTTTTTCTTAGTATTCAAAAATGTCTATGAGTACTTAAAAGTATTTTAATGGTTAATTACTCAAGTAGCTTCAATACTGGTAATGTTTTAAATAATAAAATACAATAATGATTTGTATTAAAAATAAATTTAGTTCAACAATATTAAAAAAAAATATATCATATTATTATCAGTGTACAATAATTAATAAATAGGTAAGTATCTGTTATCTATACTCTATTATTTATTGACGTAACATTATCGAACTACTATTCTCGAAGTTCCCGAAGGCGGTGACATTTATGGCGATTTCGTGTATTATTGTTTTCAATGAAATTACAGTTATGAATGAATAATAAATAGACAATATGAATATATTGCGTTTACAGTCGGTATAATATTATAATGTTGCTCCAATAACACGTAAACTGTTGTTGAGTAAACTCGCTTAACCTAATCTAACCTAGTCATAACCCGCGGCCCCAGAACTTCGCCATATCATTATACAGTACGCATTGCGTCACGAGGAACTTATACTATATTTAAACGGATAAAAGACAAACGTATATGAATAAATTAATAACATATTATTTTAATATATTTTTTGAACTCGATTCCCGTCAAGTCGTTCACCCGAAATCTCGTTTTAGGTTTAGATACTTAAAATTAACCTCGGTTGTCTTCAGGTGACCGTAACCGCCGTTCCGTCGGTAGTTCATCCGTCCGTCATACACACACACTGCTATGTCACAAATAAATAATACGTTGACGCGCTATGTATATAATATTATTTTATAGTTTCGCCCTACCCACAGAGTGTCGAGAGATTTAAACGACTGACCGGGGGACCACGTCGATGTCGGTGCTTATCAGTTGGGTCTTGCAATGCGAAACATTAATAAATAAATATACGTAGTTAAACCGGTGATTTAGTACACACTTCAGTGTTGTATAGTAAGTTCATACACACGAGGTCGAGGACAGAGATCGTTGACCTTCTATGGGTATAAAGTTACACTGACAACACCCACCAGAGAAAATCCGATGCCAATTTATGATAAGTACGTAGATATTTGCATGTTGTCTACTGTAGGTTAAACACGGCACTGAAATCGACGATCGTAGGTCGTGCCAATGAGTTGAGCCAAACACGTTTAAATAACTTGCCCAAAAAAATATATGTATATCGAATTAAAATAATATTGTATTGTACACTGGTACACCGGTAAATTAATGATGATTTATAAGGCAGATTCACTGGATGAGTAAGCAACCGGGTTGCCCAGAATGTAAATCAAAACGAAAAGAATTTTAGCAAATAAAAAATACAACAGTATAGAAAGTTTTTTACTGTCTTAATCGACGATTTAAAAAAAATATATATATATTTAAAATAAAAAGATTAGTCAATTTCTCTGGCGATAACTACACAGTCTCAAAATTAAGAATTTTAACATATAATTTCCATCGAATATATTGTCAATTGTATTTATAAAAACCCAAATACCCAAATACTGTTAAAAATATAATATAATTAAACAATATTAGTATCACATAATATTTTATTATGTTACATAAAATCTGTATAATTTTACTGATTTATAAAGCACTAGTTATTCATATCATAATAATGACATTCAATAACATGTTAATATAGTCAATTTTATTTTTGTAAAAAACGAATGAACTAATTATTTTATTATATATAGTTATTATTATTATTATTATTATTATTTGGAATATGTATTGAATTTAAAATGTTCGTTGTATGAATGCGATCGTGCAATTACCTATAATTTACAAAAAATATGGCTATAAATACAGATACAATAATTATAGGGAAATAGTCTGAGGGAACTAGTTTGTGTATATTTCTCAAATATATCATAGTATATCATATTATGCACCAATATATGATATTAATAATTGTTAAAAATTCTTATTTTTTTTTTTTTTTTTAATATGCTCATTTTTGTAAGATACAAAACAAAAAATAAATATAGCTATACTCGATACTTGTTTTTATTTCCACCACAAAGAAATATAAATAGTTTCAAACCCTATATGATTATTATTCATAACAATATCGTAATATAAAATATTTCAATAGATCGTTTTTATATTTAATTTTCATAGTATTATATATTATATAAAATATTTTTTTTACAGTTCTTAAAAACTAATACTTATATTGCTATTTATTTACGAATACGAAATACCACGTAGTTCTACAATATTTATCTGAATCACAGCTGAATACTAACTGATACGTTAAAAACTGAAATTCGTATTGAATAGTATTATTAAAATTATTTTTAAATTTATTTTATTGACACAATTGAAATTGAAATTTGAATACTTTCATATTTGGTAAAAACTATATTGGTTGTATAGCAATTGAAATGCCATTAATAATTATAATACTCTTAATAACAAAATACATTTATTTTAGTTTAAATAAAATTTAATAAATTGTGTCAAATATAATAATAATATTATATGATATAATACATCATGTGAGCGTATATCATTATTATTATCCACATTTAATAATGGTTATTTATTGTATAATAAAATTGTTAGTTATAAGTACTATAGTATGGCTATTGATTCATTTCTAAAACATTTAAAACTGTATTATTATTTCATACTTATTATCAAACCAAATGGTTTGATATCATTAGTTAAACAGTTCATTGTTAAAAACATTGAAATGCATTGTTGCTAACTCCTATTGTCCTATGTATTAAAAGTAACTGTGAAATCACCAAAGATTAAATAAGTGGTTTACCGTATAAAAATTATTATACAACATAAAAAAAACTACTAACATTAGTTAGTAGTAGGCAATTTGAATTTGTGCTAATAAACTGTGTTAATTAAAAACAATTAGATAATTTCCGTCGGCACTATATAATTAATTATACATATTATTATTACTATTATTCATAATAGGGAAATATGCAAAGAACCTCGATCTTTATCAAAATACATATACCATAATCGATCGGAATAGATTTAAACACGCTATTTGTGTGCAGTGATCGAAATTAACATATTAAATAGCATACACTGATTCTGTTGTTAAAAAGATAATTAGTGATACACAAATACAGAAAATAGTATACCGTTGAGCCAAAACGCCGGTTAATTATTTTCTAACCATTTAAACGTGTCACCAACGCATGATTCCTAAATATGTTCCATTGTCGCGGAAAACAAAAAAATGTCTGTATCCACAACATTTTCATCTATTCATCGTATGTATATTTGAATAAAATTATCCGATGTAACGGTTTTTACTGTATTTAAAACACAATAATTCATAGGTTACTGCAAATTATTGCATCCTGTTTTCAATTTAAACATGCCATTTCACTTATTAATTTCGACGATTTTCTTTTATTTGTCTTCTGTCAATACTAATTAATAATTAGTCCAATACCTACTATCATTATATATTATAAACATCGTGACATTTATAGTTGACCCGAGCTAGGAAAACAAAATCGCATCTATAAAATATAATACTTAACTAAATGTTTATTTTCGTAAGCAAATTCAATGTTTTGTACTCTTCGTATAATACATGTAACGACAAAATAATTTGTATTTTTGTACTTTGTAATTATTTTGATATTTTGAAGTACGTATATTATATGCGTAAATAATTCAAATCGAAAAAAAATGAACATGTGTATATTATAATTTTTATATTGAGATGTATTTATCACAACCATGTCAAATTAAAACTATTATTTGTTTCTTAGTTCATAAAAATTGTCTTATGAGAAAAAAACGAATTGAATAAATGAAAGCTATAATATTTTGTTATGATATATTTCGTTTATACACAATGAATACCTAATGTATTACTTAACAGGTAAACATTCTGCAAAAATTAATCAATTTTTTCTTTCTTAAATCATCAGAGCTTTGAAAAATTATAATGGAATTATGATTTATTTTTAAAATTTCTATCAAATACATACAACATGATACAATATAATGCTTTTATTTTATGTATTTATTACCTAACTTGAACTCTCACTACCCATCTAATGTTAAAATGATTATCAAGTTCTATAAAGGATTTGATGTTAAATCTACGTACATCGCTTTCGATTTCTATGTACATAAGACCAAATTTACAATACCTATATAACATTATCTAACTATAATATTATATTGATAAAACTCTAGCAGTTGGTTTTTAATGATCGTTAAAAATATTAAAATAGAAATTAAAGTTGTAAGAACTCTAATCGTCTCAAATTATCTAACAGAGAAAAAAATGTTGATTGTCCAACATACCAACGTACAGTATACCTGCTTAATCACAATTCATGTATTAATCAATACTCGTGTCAGTCGAACGTAAATATCGAGTGATCAATTGAGATGAGAGTAGAGTGCTTTTTAAAATTTTTTATAATATTATTATGTAAGCAGAACGAGCAGATATAAAAAAATAAAAATATATTTAATCATACAATTAAAAAACTAACAAGCGACAAGACATTTGAATAATAATCGAGTGACTTAATAATAAAAAAAAAAAAAAAAAAAAATGATACGTACTTGCTCACGTGTTGTAGTTCGTCTGTGTATCGCGTTATCCGGCAGCGGTTTCGTGGAGCCGACCAACAACACTGGAACACATTTCACCCGAACCGGCGAGTTACTACTGAGGTCCCGAACGACGCCGTGGCCACAGCAGCCACCGGAGATGGAAACGGTGGTAACGACAGAAAGAGAGAGACGCAATGGTACATTAAAGTGTATGAATATGAGAAAAATAATGAAAAAAAAAATAATAATGGGCGGTCATTTCCGTTTAATTTTTCATTATCACGTATTCTAGTTTATCACGCTATCGTGTATGTTATTATGTATCTATTTATTTTTATCATATACTTATAGGTCTGCAGTATGTTAATTGGACGTAAGTGTGGTTAATAGCAGTTTATACTTGAAAAATATTGATTATACTAAAAATTGAACTTTTTCGAGTTATCCGTGATGACGTGTTATCCTTAAAAAAAAAAAAAAAAAATTATAAAATACGATTTTGATCGGTCAAAACTGTCAGCTTTCAGTAATAATATTGATGTAGTCTGTTGAGTCTATTATTAATTTAGAGCCAATCATAATTTAATGGGTTTGTTTCGTTGCTTGTATTTATTATTGCACTAGGATGTTCACAAAATTGGTGATTCATCGTTTTCGGTCCCATGTGAAAATTAAGTAATTAGCTTAAAACTACGTATATTATGCACAAAAGTCGATTTACGGTTTTTTTTTTTTTAAGTTTGAGTAATATTTTTATTCATTGTCTCACCGATGTTAAGTGATTGAAGGGAGTAACTTCTCCATATTAAGTCCTATTAATGTATATAGCAGAGTTATAACATTCTCCAAAATATCATCATACATTTGCGCTCACTTGCAGGTCGTTATTATTTATTTGGTTGGATTGATTTGATTCGACGGTCATCGTAAATTCGTAACTATATTATACTCGATATTTCGATACAAATGAGCTACATTAATATTTAATTGGATTTGCATTCGATATTTATCACTAGCAAGCCATAATATTAAAATATGTTATTATTTTTATTTATTTTTTTTTCAAAAACAGTTCATGAGCTTGAATTCATAAATCGTATTTTATAATATATAATTAAATCGTACAAAGTTAAGCAGTTAGTACCAAACCAACTCGTTACGGCCAATAAACTATAAGACAACGGTGAGAATAATAATAATTAGAACTATTCATTTACGTTAGACGTTTATTATTTCCTTTATATAAATAATGCATTACAAAGACTAATAATCACATAAAGTTAACGTTAGATTTGGACTGAAAATTAGGTTGTTGTTTGTTCTAAAAAATAATAATAATGTGCGATATATTTTAGGGTACAAATGATACCTACAATAATCCATTTAATTAACAATATTATTAAGACTATTGAATAAAACACTATGTATATTGTATACATTCCATCAAAACTATTATTTTAATGTGACGATAGACTTAAATTAGTAACGCTATAGAATCAAGGCGTTACATACCTACTTTTATGGACTGAAGGATACGTTTATAGCCATAATGCAGACATTTTGGTATTATTTTTATTTTAGGTCATACTTTATTATTTTGTATTAAACATTACAGTATCAATAAGAACTAATATAGTTTACCTTGGATGCACTATAAACGTCTCCTCCATGCACTCTTATATGTTATAATGATCATTACTGCATTCATCGCGATTAACACTTTATACGCGATACCATCCAATCTCTCTATTCATCTGTATTTTGGACATCACTCAATCACAACATTCTTAATCCAATTCTTTCGATTACACGTATAACCCCCTTCATTAGCGCATCAGTCTATTATATTCTATTTATCCGAAACAATCTACTTGGTTGAAGTATTACACGATATTGCCTACTTCAAGAAAAACTCAATTTTAGTAGATCCTAAGGTTATTTTTTTTTCTTCTGAGATTTTTTCGTTAAAATGTATTATTATACAAATATATATATATATTTTTTTACATTTTTCAAATTCAATTTAGTTAACATTTTTGTATTTTCCTTGTACATAATAATAAATTTAGTTTTAACAACGTGCTTAATAGGCTAACCCAGAGTATTCCAAGCTGTGCACTAGGGCATCGCAAACACTTTCTAAGGACACTGCGGTCCATGGATAATGATAAATTATTTAAAATGTATAGAACTTTTTTAATTTAAAATTTATAAAATTCGTTATCAGTGAATAATCTTTTGTTTCGTCTTTTATGGAATTTACAGCAGAGCACTGTGGCTGAATTTGGTTTAAAAATACACCAGGAATAACAAGTTTGGGAACCGCTAGGCTAACCTATGATAGGCATTTTATATATCTGTAAGGTAATGAGTATTATATATATATATATATATAATAAGTGATCAGTGTTTAATTTTATTTATACAGCTAGAGACTTCATGCCCTAAAAAACCTTAAAATATGCATGCATTTATGCCCTAAAGAACATTAAATAAAGAATATTTTACTTCAATAAAAATATGTATAATTAATTAATTGTTAAAAATTTTAACACACAAAAATAAAATAAATTATTTTAACACTAAAAAATACCATTATGTCCCTTACCTTGTAATAAGAAAATCAATCTACCAGGTCTTATTTAATATTATGATATGTATTATCATAATTAATACAATTCAACCAATTTGGTTTATGATTTAACGATTATCTAAAATAAGAAAACAAGAAAAAATCCTATACAATCCATTTACCTGTAAATATTGTTCAATTGATGGGATTATCATAACAAATTAAATACAAATTAAACATCTTTATGATTAAAATTTGTACATTACTTATAGGTACCTTGTTTTGTTAAGCCTTATTAAAACGTAACTTTGACTTTTTCACACTTCAAATTTTAAAACAAAACATGACGCAGTGATGCTCATTAATCAATTGAAAAAAAGAATTTATGTTTATTATTTACATGTGCTTAGTTTATTGAATCCCGTATTTAAATAATAAATAATACTAGATAGACTTTTAAATAACCAACATTTTTTTTTTAAAGATAAAAAATTTTTCTCAAATTTGATTGATGTTTCTCAGAACAAATTAATTATAACTTACTGCCTTCTAGGCCAATAGCACGATTCCTAACAGAAAAAAAAAAACAAAAAAAAAAACTAATTTAAAAAAAAAATATATGTATAATTTTAAAAACAGCGAGAAAGTTAAGCACTAAATCACGAACTTCATGAATACATAAAATAATAAATTGTATTTCTAGTGAATTTTTAAATCCACAATTATAGCATATTATGAATCATTAATACTAATCAATATATGCCGTCATTTTGTGATTTTAATTTTTGTTTTAATGGAATTTAAATGACTTTTTTCTATAGTTTTTATAATAACTTAATTGAAATTGTAATCGAAAAATTAATAGTGTGTTTAATACAATTTATAAAATATAGTAAAAATAACTATTGTTCTTAAAATAATATATAAAACTTTATTTATTTTCATAGCTAGTTATCAAATAGTTGTAAACTGCTTTTAATGTTCATCTGCATATTTAAGAAAAATATAATATTAACCTTTCAAAAATTGGACGATTACACGATTTTAAGAACGAACAAAATTGTATTCTTGTAAAACTTTTTTTTTTATAATAATTGCATAGATAATAATATAAGCTAGTAAGTACTTTATAGGAGTGTACACGATTGATAGTCAATATAACGACTGAATAATAGTGAATCATAACTATTTAGCAACAAGTTAATAGAATATTGAAGTGGCATGGAGTGTAATATTTCCTTACAAAAGAGTACTTAAACGCCTTAATATGCTCATAAATTTTGATTTTATATGGGAAACATCATAATATTATGTACACATCATTGAACAAGATTAAAGTATATAAGTAATATATTATTTATGCCTTTTCGCGTTGACTAAACAAACATTTTCTATACTTAAGGATGACTTCTGCTTAATTCGCAATAAATATACATCGACTGGTTTTCGTAATAATATCGTGTAATACGATTGACGGTAAACGTGTGCTATAAATCTTGAAAAAATAAACCAGATTAATTGAAAAAATATAGAAAAATTTAGGTGTAGTATACAAAATATTACACTACCTGTATATTATTAATTATTATGTAAGTTATTTAATCAATAATAATTTAATAATTTCATTGATTGAAATTATGACTTATATAAAAACATATTATATTATCCAATAAATGGTTACTGTAGTGTAAAAAATCGAATTCACTAATATAAATACAATTTTTAAACTTTCTATAATGTACCATATTATATTATTTGCACGACAACTGACAAGATATATTTTGAGAGAACTGTCTGTTTTTAAATAGTACTTCAATTTATATTATGTAGAACGAAATAATAAAATTAATTGGTGAGAACGTGTTCAAATTTAAAATTTGAAACTCCAGTAATTTACTTATGCGTTATGCTAATAGTGAAAAAAAAATAATTCGTACTTTCATAAAATTTGTGTTTCCGTGTTTCAATATTTTTTGCCATGTTTTATTTTTTAGTTGCCTAAGGAATAGTAAAAATCAAAAAAATTATGTCCATAATAAGGACCTTGCAAATATGTATATAATAATAAATATAAAATACACAAGAGCATAACATTATATAATAATATAAATGTAACCGAAATATTTATAATTCTTGTAAATAACCATAAATTAACGTAATGAAACAAACTCTATCAAGATCATCCGTGATAAAAAAAAAAAATATTCCGGTGACAAAATAAATTTTGACGTTGTGTTAAAAAGATTCAGATAACCTTGAGCCTACTAACTGAAGTATACGTTATATATATAAAAAGAGGCACCAGATTCGATTACTCTCCGTAATTTTAATATTAAAATGGTGAAAATCCATGACAATTAAAATGCAACTCAGTGCGTTTCGTACACGGTCAACAATGCTTACGTTTAGTTTTTTTTGAACAAAAACCAACAAATTAAAAAAACCCTTCCGTGAAGGTTGAACGCCTAGCTATATGGCTTATATATATATGCTTATAAACTACACGTAAGAAACTTTGCTTTCGTATGGCTTGGAAAAAAATCGTTAAGA